GACGAAAGCCTTGGTGACTCGTAGCCCCACCTCACCCACCACGGGGCCCAAAAGGTGGAGCAGCCCCCCCCCCGACCTCCACGCGGTCTCCCCGACAGGCTACGGGGGTCTGGGTTTGGCTCGTCCAGTGGGGATTGAAGGAGTGTGAATGCTAAGGACCACTGGTGCACAGAGGTGAGGTTTGTGACTGCTCATGTGATAGTTGAGCTAGAAAGACACTGCGCACTCACTCAAAGGCGTTCTGAGACCTGCTCACGACACCACCACCTTTCTGCCCCCAGTCACCATCGATATTGAACTCATACATCCAAAACGGGCGTCAGGAACCACTCTCTTCTTCTTGCCTATGTGCCCCGCGAGAACGCAACGGCAGCACCTTCAGAACAGCTTCAAGCTCACTCCACCAACCGGATGACATTGGGCCTTCACTCACACTCTCAGAGCTCCTCCCGGACAGTTCAGACAACCTCCCAAACCCACCCCCAACAGGTCAGGATCTTCCGGGCGGCTGCTTCGTGTGAGCCGTCATCCAGGCAACATGGCAGGAACACGCACTCACCAGGAACGTCAAGTTGCTTATGAATGTCTTGGTGATAATATCATGTGTGGGTTTGACGAGGGCTACTTGTGCCAAAAGGCTACCACAAAAAGGGAACGGTCTAACGCATACACGCCCACATGCGTCATCATGCGTCAGAATAGGGTCCCCCAAGCCTTATATGGGTATATAGAAATAGGTGCATAATTACTTCACTGATATATATACACCTTGTTCAGACTAGATGGCTATATCCGGAAACGAATCGATGGCACCAGAAAGTGCCAAAAGCGCACGCGGCAAACCGTGGAAAACAAGATATATACCTATGCATCCTCAAGCATAATAGATGGCATTCCACCCATTCACAGAGTAGACTTGCGCCATCTTCTGCAAAGAACACTGATATAAGTCGTTGATTTTTGTAGACAACCTCTCTGTTAAATTCCAACTGTTTTTCATGTTCTTCTCTTTGAACTGTCTTTCTCTCTCCTTCTTTCATATTCTATCTCTCTCTCTCTCTCTCTCCTTCTCTTCCTTTCTCCTTTGCTATCCATTCCTTAATGTCTCCTTTCCCTCTCCTTGGATGCCTTTCTCTTCTTTCCTTTCCTTCATTCACTTCGCCTTTCTCTATCCTTCCCTTGCCTTTCCCTTCACCTTTCCCTTTCCTTGCACTTGCACTTGAAACAGTAACAGAACGCTGCACGATAATAGCCCCGTAGATGGCACAACACTTGTGTGAAACATGATTAGGATAGTTGAGCCAATAGATACTGCCAAGTAGATGGCGCAGCTTGCTGCTTTCAGGGCCAAAAATTTTATGGCGTTCTTTCACGAAACGGATTGTAAAAGTAGATGGCGCCAAACCAATCCCCGAGTAGTACTTTCCCATTCCTTGTCACGATTTTTGCCTAGGATGGCTTGCGCCGTCTGCATCTGGGTTTTTTTGTTCCAGAGGCGCTTTCCCCTACACAATACATGCCTCATTACAAAAACCTGAGCCAAGTTTTCTGACTACAGAGTCTATATATAAGAACAATTGAATTGATCTCTTGCGTTGCGCATAGGCGGAATTCTGTCCTGTTTTCCAGCTTCGCGGCTGAAACGTGGAATGCTCACTGCAACTGTCTGCACCTGCTACACTCCTCTTGAAAAGGGGTCGGCGGCACCCGGGCGAAGCCCTTACAATATCTGAACACCTATCAAGTATAGGGTGAGGATTCTGGTGATTCTGAAAACATCAATGTTCATCCATGCAAAGCATCATGAAGCATCTATAGAACATGATATTCAATTTGTTGCGGACCTCTAGTATAGAAAAGAAGCACTTACACTTACTGTGAACCCATTTGAACCAGATGTTAGTGAATTTGCCTGATCGAAGATGCATAGGACATCATTGTTCAGTCCCTGCACCTGTAGGGACTGAAAGTCAAACTGGCAAGTGAACCTGATTAGAGAATCTGTTCTTGCACTCAAACGGTGGTTTGTTGATAGTAACTGGGATGCAATAGCCGTGGTGCCGGATCCGATTGGGTCAGTTGAACAATCACATATTTATACATATTTGTTTTCTTCAGGACTTGACTTCAGGGTGTCTGTTCATTCTGTAGCTTCATCGCTGGGTGTCACCAGGATTCACACCCAAGCATCTCAGTGAAACTGCAGCTGCTGAGTGGGTTTCAACATTCCCAAGACCTTCCTGTGGATGACATGACCGGGACGTTGTCCGGACACAAACGTCCCATGTCCCTTCCATCTATCCCAAACACTCCATGGATCTCCATGGTATGCCTACATCTCCAAACCACCCCCAACTGATTGTCGAATGGTAAAATCCTGGAGTGCTTGGGATAGCAAATGAGAAGACAGGTGAAGTCTTAGGGACCAAAACATCTCCACTACCACGAATCTGAAGGGAAATCCATCTCCATCTGCCATCTGACTTCGAGGCCGGAAGGTCCTCTGGCCGAGAACCGATGAGAAGAACCGAACCAAGGCCGGCAGTTTGGGGTGGTGAATGGACACCTTATTAAAAAGAAACTTAACCGGCACTGTTTCAATTCCGCCAGGGCCCGGGGCCATCTCCACGCGCTGGGCCACCCTGGCACCGCCGTCGCCCGAGTGGTGCAGCGCCACCAGCGCGGACCTGAAGGTGCCGTGGCACCCGGACGGTTGTAGAGTACAAGTTGAAGTAGAAGTTGAATGAAGTAGAAGCACACACAAAAAAGAAATATCATATATAATATAACGGTAAAGCACCGATTTCATCTGTCATATTTCAATTGTCTGATATTGCTGATCTTGAGCCTGGTCAAGCTGAGCTGGGTCACGTCAAGAAGAAGGTTAGACAAATGGCCCATAGAATATTCCCGGGGCATAGTGTTCGAGATGTCTACTGTGCAGCTTGACCCATAAGTGACCGTCATGTTTTGTGGAGTTGCACGTCACAGGATTTGGTGAGTGTATGGGTGAGTGATGGTGAGTGTATCGTTGTTCAATCCGTCATGTTATTGGTTGTTGTTTTCTGTGTGTGATCGTTTTGGCGCGGAAAAGTATGTTGAAATCCCATGACCACTCACTGACCGACCTAGTCACTGAGCTTAGCCTCACGTGACGAAAGGGCACGTAGCCTCATGTGAAAGATCCAGGACGGGCCAATGTTGCCATGGTCGGTTTTAATTGCGTTGCAGGTTTGGGCCCTCACCAGATCTAACTTGTAAAACTCGCCAGTCGCGGGAGGTTCAAGACGCAGCTTGCCAGTTAGCCAACACAAGGAGGATGGAGGTCCGTTAGGCATGTTGAAATCGCTTTTGTCCGTGTGTAGAAAGACCAAAGCCAAGTAGCCAGAACCACTTTGCCATGGAAAAGCCGTTCAGCCGGTCTCCACACTCACCCACACACGGAACAAACCAGCACGTTCGGTACGTACCTTCAGTGCTGACCATAGCACAGGAATTCAAATCTAAGTCAGCGTAACTCAGCTTGGATGGCATCCGGCTTCTCAACCTCGGAGCTTCCTCTGTTTTTGGTTGAAATCTGCTCGCCCAGCTCGGTTCATCGGTTCCTGCAGCCGTGCTGCTCATTTGAGGTTCATTTCAAAGGAATACGGGGGGCGTTCGGAGTCTCCCATACCCATCCTCGCTTAGCCAGCCCATTTGACCTTTGCCAGCTTGAGGTACATGAGTCATATATGTCTTTACCCCACAAAATACTGATTGATACTGCTCTTGACCTGCCGGTGGATGGGTTGACCTTCCCATGGTGACCAGTTACCACCGAACCGCCGCGAGCGCCGCCACGTACACTGGGCCACTCCACCAAAGGCGCCCCGTGGCGGGATGCAACTCCTTGGACGGAAACGGCCGTACTCGATCCACTGAGCTTCTCAGGTAGAGGAGGAATGCAAAAGAGCCGCATTCCCTGACGTTATTTTCTTGTCATTGTTTTTCCACATGCATGTTTCCATAGGCTGGCGAGACCATTTATGGTTGTTCGAAGCGTAAAGAAAACACATGTGTCCATTTGGGTGAAAACAAACTGGATGAACAAAACATGTGTCACAAGATGTCATACGTTTTCTTCCATCTGGTAAAACAAAGTAATGTGCTATAGTAAGTGAATTCATGGCATCCTGGCTTTCCTACCCGAGATGGAACCCCTCAAGTGGGTCTATCTCAGAACAGGGGAACCACCCATCATTTGCAATGGCAGCACCAGTGGTCATGTTTCACCTACTCCCCACTGGACATCCCCTCTCTTTCTTCTCAAATCGCACGAGCAAAACGCAAACCACTGCCAAACTCTTGAATGATTCAGGTAAAAATGGACACCCCCAGCTCCGTAGCTGCCGTCAGGCAAACAAAACATCCAGAATGTGACCCACTGGACATGTGGATTCGATGCCCCGACCCGGAAGATCTCTCAGAATTGGGAAGCCCTTCACGCCCTGCTCTCCATTGCATGGAAACCCTGCTCTCCATTGCATGGAAACCCTGCTCTCCATTGCATGGAAACCTCCACTTCGCTGTTGTGACTCGGAGCCACTCATCCAACCGGCCCAGGCACCAAAGCACACATGGCCGTGCTCTGCGCCGCCTGGAGGCAGCCCTGGCGGGCCTCGCGTCCAGTGCGTCGCTCAGGCAGTGCTGTTTGGAAGAAGTCAGCCAAGAAATACCAACTTCACTGAAGCTGCTGCAAGCAATATGGGGAAAGAACTGAAGCAAATCAAGCACTTGACTCACTTCATGAGCTTGAAGCATGCTATTCTTCCCACCTGCTGTTAACACAATCTCACAGCTGAAAACAAAATACCTGTGTGTACAACATGCCCCCCCCAACATGTTCACACCGCACGAAACACTACAAAATACATCACATGCATAAGACATAACAAGTATATAGTTGGTCAACACATATCAACACCATTCAACACCAACCTACAAAGATTGCAACATACTGAGGCTCACGGAATACATCCTATCGCCATCTATAAGCATGTAGGTCAAGCAATATGCCCCCTAGATTCGGGACCACTACGTAAGAGGCAGCATGAACACGATCATGCACTTGCAAGAGATCTGTCCAAGAAAAGCGACCGATACTGCGACCGATCCGCTCAAAACCCAGCTCAAAGGACTGGGAAAACCGGCTTCTCCAATCTTCTCCACTTGATTCGCAAGCACTTGGTGGTTTTCTCTAACATAGTTTCTCCAGGCATGTGTCGGTGTGCGAAGGAAAGCCTGGCGTTCCTGCTACAATCTCTCACTCTTGCCTCCATGAAGATGTGCTCCAAAAAGACCTCATCTGAAACAACATTGTCGCACTTTTTCCCAGTGAAATGAGCCACAGCCAAAGGGGTTGAGATGGGCATGAACATGGGACTCATTGATTTTGACCAAAAGCAACATGGCCTGGCGAATTGCCAAACGCCGGGACCCGAAGCTCAATTGTTCTGATCTGTATCTGATAGACAGGGTTGTGTTCAATGCAGGGGCACTCGCAAGCTTATCTTTTCTGACCTGACCGATGAGGACAAATTCTATATAGCCCCAACCGGCACACCCTGACGGTACCTGGTCAAAAAGAATAGGGAATATGGCTTTGGATAACGTCACCCCGAAGGTTTGATCTATACCAGGAGCTCCGTTTCGGGGCGGTTAATGGACACCCCTTAATCTCTAAGGGGCTATGATTAAACACCCCTTAGTAAGGGGCCCTGGCACTGGTACTTGCTGGAAACCTCAAGTTTCCAGAAAATCTTGGGACAAAAAGGGGGACAGCGTGGGGCAAAAGGTCCCGGGAATACCCAGAAATTAAAACACCCTATACCACCCTGCATGGGGTATCGATCCAGCAGCACTCTGTCGGGGGGTGCCGTTCTTGTTCTTCCGAACCCGTTTCCGGACCCGTGTCGACCATGGTAGGTCCAAACATTTTGGACAGCTGTCTTGACTCAAGGTGTGTCCAAATGTCTTAGACATGACTTGACTGTCGGTGGGTTCCAGCATTTTCCACACCCTGCAGTTCCGCACCTTCCAATCGTGTCCTTCACAGGCATGTGCTTCACCAAAGGCCACACGTGTCCCGTTCAAGTTACCCAAGAACTCCTGGCCATGGTCGCCATGATCACCCATTGCTGTCCCGGGCAGCCATGGTACGTGCGGGGCGGTGTGGCTTCAAACCAGGGACCAGTGTACCAGCTAGCCGCTAGCCGATATTTGACAAGTTGAGGGTTGCAACCCACCAAAGAACCATCCAAGCAAACCGGTTGAAACAGGTTCCAATCGAAAATGTGCTGAGTGTGAAGGCCAATCCAAATAGCTGCCGCACTGCGGCACTGCATGTGCAATTTAGTAGGAGCTATCAATCACCAACCCCTCAAGACATCAATCTACCCACATTGTGCCACATCAATCTACCGGGAATGTCCACGTGCTTCTTCCCCCCAAACACGTCTTTAGTCTTTGGAAGAACGGGCAGCCCGTACCGTCGTGAACCCCTCCGTTGCGGAGCCAATTTTTCGCAAAAGAAGAGTAGCCAGTCAGTCACACGCGTGGGTTCGGAACAACGACCAGTCAGGCAGTGATATTTTGACTTGTTACTACTAGCGTGGCACTTGTTCCTACTAGATTCTTGTTACTACTAGTAAGGCACCTGTTACTACTAGCGTGGCACTTGTTCCTACATATTCTGACCAGGTGGTAGGCCGGTTGAGGTTCGAAAGGTTGAACCGTCCAAACCTCACGTTCACATGTAGTGACTGAACTCGACGTCTCAAGTCGAGTCGAGTCGTGGGAGGCCTCCGTGCGTGCACGCTCCAGGCACACGGCCACCTGGCCGGGAAGAATTCGTGTGGGATGGAGGAATGGGGAGACTATAGTCAGTGACTAGTCGGTCTAAAACCATCTAAAACCCATCTTCGAAGGGAATGTTGGGAAAGGTGGTTGGAGATATTTGATATCGACTCCAAGGTGGATGTTCTTTCGCATGTTCTATCAACATATTAAGCCAACAAACTTCCTCAAACTTGAAGAGGTCGGCCACGTTACTAGTAGGTCCCGACACCAAGCAGCGGGAGATAGAGACACGACGTCGGTTGCGACTGAATCACCACGATTCTCATCCCCAGTAAAAACCCAGTGGATCCACACTATAGAAAGAAGCAGGATTTCTAGGTCTATGGCTTTAGGATGCTTTAGGTCTTTGGAACCACTTGGTTACCAGCTCTCCATCGTCACTGGATCCCCTCAAAGTCGCTCTTCCGACACATCGGCCCTTGGGAAGGTGACCATTGCCGTCTCGCGCTTCTGCGACGGACCGAGTGTGCGCTCCTGACCCGGCCCGACCCTGCAGTCAAACACTAGATCAGCCGTCAGCCTGCATGCGACTGGGTGCATCTAACCGTGCTTGAGCCAGCAACCTGCCATGGCCAAAGGTGGAGGCTGGCTCTGAAGCAGTCAGACTCGTGTCTTGGGTCGTCCAAACAAACCCCCCAAAGGTTGACCCTCGATAGAAACAACTCAAAAAGCACCCAATCCACGATGACGACCCCTGCAAGGCTTTGATAGGCAATCCTTTGACGCATCGTCCGCCGCCGGTGTGGGAGGCGAGAACCCAAGTGTCCGGAGCGCGAGAACCGCCCCGGAAGCCGCGTGGAGCACTCACCGGCTGGACCGATTCACCAAACCATTGGGAAGCCCCAAACATCCCCAAACCGATTCCCAAAACCACTTGTTATAAACTCATATTAGAAGTGTTGGATGTTGACCACCTTTTTCAGGTGTTGACATAGTGTTTCATCCCTTCAAAACCCGATCTCTGTCAGGGTCTTCCCGAAATGAGTTGCATTCGCCCGTCGGCCTTCGACAGGCGTCGGCAGAGCCATCCCAGAGTTCGGCCCTGGTCGGATGGAAGACCGGACGACCCGATGGATCAGTGGCCCATGTTCTGCATACCTAAAAGCACCCGGGGCAAAAATTTCTGCCTCAGCCCGATTTGCCCGGGAGGATTCGCGGATTTAAGGTAAATCCGCGCCAGGTAGGAATTTCCGCGGCCAGCGGGGAATTTTTGCCTCGAGCAAAATCCGACATAGCAATTCAAAAACCATCACCACTGCCTAACACCGACCAGGTTGTCTCTTCCATGATTGCAGACCACATATCGTTCTGCAAGGCCATAGTTTCACATCTCAAGATCTGACATCCTACTTCTAAATTCATGACATTCACAAAGAGGCTGCGATATATGTTCAAGCCCTTCAAGGGCACTGTTCTTGAATCCCGCCTTCTGCCAGGAAATTTCCGCCGTTTTCCCGGGTATTTCCGCCGTTTTCCCGGGTATTTCCGCCTCTTTCCCGGGTATTTCCGCCTCTTTCCCGGGCATTTTCGCGCCAGGTGTTTTCAACTTTGGACTGGTTTTACTGCTCGTGTGCTCATTCCGCACAAGAAACCTTCAAAAACAAAGACATGGTAGCCAGATTTGCAGGTGGAGGTGGAAACTTAGGCGCCGCCATCTTTTTGTATCATTGAGGTGACCATTCCAGGCAGAAATGCCCAATGCACATGCAAACCACCAAAAAGATTCAACTGTTCTATATAGAATATATGTAGTCTCTCACTAGATTCCTGAAAGGGAAAATTTGCGGCAACAAAAACATTTCCGCGGCAAAAAGTTGGTTTCCGCCCCAGGACGGGGAGCCGCTCTTCCCGAAAAAGGCAAGAATTTCTGCCGAAAGGATCTTCTAGGTATTAAGAACTTCAACTCTGAGAGTTGAACGAATTCTGACCCATCTGACCATAGAATAGGGAGGTCTTCATGACTTCATGGTTTAGAATAACTCTTGTGAGGAGCCTGCATGAAAGGAACTTCTAGGACCTAGAAGTTCCTTTCATGCAGGCTCCTCACAACAGTTATTCTAAACCATGAAGACCTCCCTATTCTTGAGACTTTACTTACCAGCATGCTTTGTAAATCCTAGGTCTAAATCACCGCAGCAGTGGCAACGGTGGATGATGGTTACTAAGTACCTTCCTTCACACGCAGTGATAGCCTTCAACTTTAACTATTTTACACACTGCCTCGACTTTGGATAAGCCCAATGGGATACCTCACCCTTTTCATGCAACGAGCCCGACTGCCAAAGTTCCGTAGTTTTTGGCGAGTTGCAGGCTGTCATGCGTCCAGGCAATGATCACAATGGATTGGGTCGATCTACCAGTAACAGTGGAGGATGATCGCTAGTAAAAGACCAGGCCTTTCTCTAAAATTATAATTACTGACTGTTACAGGCAGGACAAACCCAAACAATGGTCAAATTTATGATTGGCATCCTGGCATATCACGGTCTAGGTCTAATCATTCAGCTGGCGGAGACTGGCAGCACCTCATTGGGATCAGCACGCAGGCTTACCCCTCTCGCGGGTTGGCACTCCTTGACCAAATATTGACCATGCTGCGGAACACTTCCAAGGATCTAGCGGTTTTTTCTGGCCATCGATGAAAGCCACGAGGGGCATGGGTCAGCCCATGAGGTTCCCTTTTCGCATTCTGTGACGGTCCTCACGCCCATTGAGTGAAGACCTGCGAACGACAGCCTACGACGAACACCACGGGGATGCCATCGAAACAGCATCACGTTCACGACGTTGCATGGTGCCAGCACACCATTACGTCCCCCATTAACCTTTGAGATCCCAGCTGAGGTCACTGTCAAGGTCGTGGCGGTCGTAAGTCTCAAGACGGAAGTTGTTCGGTTGCACGTGACACTGCTGTCAGATGGCCTGCCTCAAACAGGAAAGGCAACATAATTATATAGTAATAAATATAGTATACAGTTATGCAATACTCTGTCGTCGGATGGCACCCTTTTTGAAGTATCAACGACACTGCAAAGAACACAGGATGGCGTAGATGAGCCCTGCCATTATGCCCAACTGCTGTGTCATGCTGAAAACCCTTGCACCAGGGACAGGTGCATCACCATGTTCTTCAACACGCCTTTCATCTTGGTGCCCGACAACAGTTCTTTTTCTGGGGATTCAAAATTGTGACAACCCGTTCCCCGTCGAATGCGGCAAACAAAAACACTGGTGCCACCTCACAGGGTCGAATGTCCTCCCTCCGAAGCAGTTTAATTGATGGTGATCCTTGACCGAACAAAAACTGGCCCATGGACTTATGGACTTCTTGACCGCGGCTGCCCTACAAATATGACAAGACGTCGAAACGGTTTGAGCCCAAAACTCCTCACCCGTTTTTGGTACTTCGATGCCACAGACGGGTGCCTTGCAGCCAGTAGCCACACTTTCCACCGCAAATGCCTGAGGTGGCGACAGAACATAGTAAACCGGCGAAAAGGCCCTCCCAAAGTGTTTTTTGTCCCAAATAATATCGTTTTATGAGCTAAAGAACAAACACTGTGGCACACTGGCCTTGCACTCTGCTTTCATCAACTTCAAGATATCTGATTGGTTGACGGCCTAAACACATCAATAACAATCCAAATCCTCAAGGTTCAAGTGTGTCTACCACCGACGGGGGCCACATCCGAGGACGGGGGCCACCTCCGAGCGATCTGTTGGCCAAGCTGCTTGGGGCAATGCAACGCAGCTCGTCCGATGCTTTGCCGGCACCTGGGAGCGGACGGGGTCTCCCCCAGAGGCAGGGGATCACCGATGGCCGCCTGGAGGGTTCAACTACCACAAGTGTCTCATCTCATCCCCCCCCCCCCCCCAAAAATGACCTTAAGTATCCTTAAGTTGTCACAGCTTGGATTTCCAACTCCAAGCAATCTTTGGGAGTTCACGTTCATTCCTCTTCCATGAAACCAGATTTTCTGGAGGCCCACACTGGAGGGCTCACATTTCGACACCGGGTCAACTTGAGACGACACCGGAAGGGGGACGCTGAAACTCTTTGGATTCAAATGGTGTTTTTCGTCCTGTTGGTCGTGCTTTGTGCTTGGGAACTGGCTTCCAAATGAGAAAACATTGACCCTTCAAATGCTCCAAAACGCAGGAAACCTTGAAACTTGAGAAGTGCCTCAACGCATCCCGTCTGATAATGAGTTATGAGTCCATGAGTCCATCACAAACTACACTTTGATCATCTTTGCCCCAACTGCAGTATGTCCATCCATGATAAACTTCCCTTTTGTTAATCTTGACCATACCAATGTAAGAACTATGAGGCCATAAATCAAACTGAACAAAGGAACTTGCAAGTTCATGGTCGCATCGATTGGGCTGAACGTGTTTTTCTCATCAATGCATGATACTGAGGCTAGCTCAGTCTCTTTCTCGTCTTTCATGTGTATTGTTTTCTCATTATCCGGCTTGTTTCACTACATGTAATGTTCTTTCTTATTGCCTTCACAACCGTGTCATCCCTATCAACAAACCAATATTTGATTTAAGTCGATAGTGGCGTCATCATGGATCACGCTGGCTCTCAACATGCAATGATTACAATAACCTAAAAGTAAAACAACCAGTTTTCAAGTTCAGGATGCACATATCCTTCCACATGTGCCACGCTTTCCCATGTGGTGAGCACACTTATCACCAGCCCACCAGCCGTTTTTGAGCCTGTCACCCACAAACAAGGGCACAAACAACCAACCAACTTACCATCATACCAGCGCCTTCCTTAGTCTCGGGGTCTGGTTGAACTAGCCTAACTACCTGTGGATCTTCATTTTTTTTCACACCCCAAAAGGAAGGTCCAGGTACCATCCTTGTCTCTTCTTCACCTGTCTTTCTTCATCCCAGATGCTGCGGCAATGCCCCCTGACGTGAACAAGCCGTCGCCACCTCGACGAACAAATACGATCGAGGAAGAAAAAAAGGGACCCAAGTCAGCAGCGATTTGGTGAACGTGCCTGTTTACCCCGTATGGTAATTTATATATATATATTGATTCTATATGATTCTATAGTAATAGTATATAAGAACAATGAAACACAATAGTGTAATAGTAACTGGAATATATAAAACCAACTAAAACACGGTACACGGTGAACTTGGTGCTGGATTTCACAGGGATCCACTGGATTGGGGATGCTTTCGAGTGACTGGCCAGCTTGAGGCCTTTCATCTGTGATCAAACATGGGATGTCGGTCTACCAGGAGTTCCAAGAGGCCAAACTTGGAGGGTAGGGGCTCAGAAAATCCACTCACATGGAGCGCAAAAATCACTCCTTTTTGAAACTGCTGAGGTACTTGACGGTCCTCTGTCTTAAATCTAATATGATCTTCAACCATTGTGTATCCCCGGAATCCCTGGTACCGGATACGAACGGTTCCCGCATAGGACCGGGTTGAAATTCATGACCTTTTGGAAGCAACTTCGCTGACTCACGATGTGGGGCTTGGCCCGGCGCCTACTCACCTGCTTGTCTAGTAGGATCTTGGTCCGGTGATTGTCTAGTAGGATCTATAGTAGGTGATTTCTGGTGAAAATAAACGCTCCCGTGGTGGTCGACCCAAAACCCATGCGTGAAAGATGCGACATCGGTCTCATCCGGATCGGTGGCAGGCGCACATCGAAGCGCGGGCGCAGGGAAAACACATCTTCGCCCACGCTGTCGCCAGTAACCAGTGGTTTTCTCTGGGATTGACATGGATCGACTGGTGTTTTGTTGGAAGTTCCACGGTCCTCTAAGCATTCCAACGGATCATGATCGTGAGCACAAGTTTAGTGCTCCTCACAGGCCTCTCCGTTCCCGGTACTTGTCACTTCGCTTGCTGCACTTTGTCGCTGGCCGAATGCAGCACGATCAGAGGGCGTCCGAATGTAGCAACTTCCAGGACCTGTCTGTACCCTTGGCCTGTGGCCAAACAGCCAGTAGAATCCCGGCCCTGCTTCAGCCTTGACAGCTCAGAGGCTAACCTCGTTGGGGAGATCAAGTCTTCAAGAAGAGACGCTGGTGACGACCGAAGCACGTCTGAGACGACCGAAGCGACCCCTCAGTCAGCACGGTCCAACTCAAACCTCGGCACAGCAAGACGCCAACGAGCGAAGGGCTGTCCAGCAGCCTCCATGAAAACCAATGGCAGCAAGGCTTTGGACCAGGTCCATTGGTCTTCAGACCTGTGATATTTGGTCTCCATCGACCAGCCTCTGATCACTCCGAATCAACGGCACGCTGGCTCACGCTTCCGGGTTTACCAGCTGCTGAAGCTGTATCCAGGTTCACCACAGGTGATTCACTGCCAGCTCCGGAGTTCACTGCCGCATTCACACAGCTCATGGAGAGTGAGCAAAGAGAAGGATGTCAGTATGTGCGCATTTTACTCTTTGAAACCATGCCGCTGAGGGGCTTCACTTGTATTTAGATTACTTTAAATTCATCACCGAATCTCTAGCCCATCCCAGGTCTTGACCCAATCAAGAGGATCGATCCAATCAATGTAGTGTATAATATAGGTTGATTAATATATCCCCCTAGCAGAATGGTTTTACATCTCCATAGTTTGCTGAATCGACTGTCTACATTATATAGAGGGCCGAAAAAACGCAGGGCATACTACTGATGGACCTGCACTACTTGCTGTCACTTGTAATTAGTCGTGTGGAATTCACGCTCGCTCCATCACATCTAGCATAGGCCGATCTGATTCCCAAAGAAATACCCTAAGCGCCGTACCCTTTGGATACTCTAAGTGATAGCCATGCCGTTTGGGGTCCCTTCCGGCAAGCGAGAAGCGAACTTGCTCAAGGTCCACACCCCAAACACAAGATGGTCAAAAGGATCACAAACTGAACGCACCAGTGCGAAGGTCAAGCCCCCACCCACCCAACCAGAAGTGGCCTCGAAATGAATTTTCCAATGGAGCTCGCTGCAAATGCTTGCAATGGCACTGGGCGCATACTCCCTGGTCAACGAGAAGCGGAGCGGACTTCTACTGAAAACATCTGAAAACAAAGCTTGGTGGGTGTGTCTAATAGGGATCTAATTAGGAACTAAGGACACAATAAATTCACTAAGTTTATTCATTCAACTGCCTCAGAAAGTCGACGTTGAACATCTAGTACAAAAACACCGGCAACCCCAAAAAAGACGACGCTCCGATACCGGAATAAGGCCTCTCTTTCCCGAACCATGGGGCCGATCGAACTCGCACTCGCGGTCGCACCGCGCGGTCGGAGAGTCGGATGGTGGATTCCCGTACGGTGAAGACGGAGAGGTTTGGGTTAAAGGTGGATTCCCCAAAATGAACGCCAAATGACCTAAGACAGGTGAAGTGACCTGAACTAGGACCTGTCACCTGGGGTACCTATTGGGATAGTCCAAAGGGTCCTTCAACCTCTGGTTAACCTCCAGCTTTTCATCAACTCCCAGTCGTCCATGTCACTTGTCACTGGTCTGGTCATCAACTTGTCATCGCGCACTTGACGGCGTGGGCCCCGTAGAGCTTCTCTGCCTGCCGAAGCAAGACGAACCTCAGGCACAACAAACGCAATGAGGCGAGGCTCAAAAGCATCGTTCTGTCACTTTTGTGTACCACCCTGACCTTGGCGAACCAATCCCAACGGCCAAAATGACAGGCTTTGCCATGTCAGGTGGTATGTGGAACTTTAACAGAATGAGTTCCTGGGGAGCCTAGGGATAAACATATCTCCGAGTAAATGAGGTCATGGGGTACCTGACCAGTTCCTTCGGTCAAACTTCTGAGAAGCACACTTGCACACTGCAACTCCTAGACCTCACAACGAGGCAACAAAAACGCAGGCAACCAGAGCCAAAATAGGTATCTCAATGTTCCAAAGCCCTAACAGCTGAAGCAGTTCGCAGCTACCCTCGCAAAATGTAAAGGACAGGACAGGTCCTTCTACACCTTTCAATAAACGCAGTTAACATGCCCATCATCAGAGCACGGGTATGACGTGTTGGAATGTGAAGAGTGGATAACAAAACCACCATGAACTCTGGCCAAACCAGTGCGGGCTCAAACGGGCAAGTTAATAAGTGTTTTTGTTGGGATCGTGTTTTTTTACCCGTGTAATATCACAAAATTGTCTCCATGGCTGCTAGGTAGCAATATCATCTGGTGTTCATCGATGTAAACAAGTCTGTTCAGTTCACATTAAGCGTGCATTCTCCGATTATCCAAATCCGATCTGCAACCGGTCACCCTGAACCAAAAGAAAGTGGATTGATTTTGCTAACAAACAATTCACCCAAATGATCTAACCCAATGAGTCTACACCTATGGTGTCTCCTGTTCAGCTCGCGAATCGAAGAAGCACACAGCTTTTCTTCGAGTCATGCGCAGTCAGTCATGCGGTCCGAAAACCAAGAGGGTCTGGCCTTAGGAATCTGGGGTTGGGGAGTCATCCCCTTCTTCCACAGTGCCACTGGTGTCCTTTCCGCGCCAGTTGCGGTAGGCACTTTTGGTGCCATTCACGAGCTTCTTCCCCAAGCGCCAGGCCCCTTTAGCCAGGTACTTGATGGCATGAAATGGAAAGGCCAAGAACTTACTCATGCACATACCAGGATCGAAGTCGTCGAGAATGAAAGCTGGAATGAAGCAAACAAACAGGCCCAGAATGAAATAGCCGATGGCTAACAACCAGGTGTAGAAGACCGCTAACAACCCAGTAGCACCAATAAGGACGGTCGCAATCACCAAGCCAATGGAAATGGGTGTGATGGCATGTCCTGAAGCAGCCAAATAGGAGATGGCCAGTACTATGTCATGTGTAAGTGCTATTTTGTCAGGCTGATGACGGGAAATGAAGCTGCAGTTGCTCAAACAATCTAAGGAGTCAGCCACATACGATCTTTTCGTTTCTCGTTTTCATGATCTGGATCGTCTGGATATGCGGAAGCAGCACATCCAACTCCCTCAACGGCAAACTTTGGCATTTGCAAAGACGTGTCGACGTCTCTCTTTCCCTTTCCCCCTCCTCTCACTCAGAGAGGCGCTCCAAGACGTGGTCACCCCCCATGTCCCATGGGTTGTCCCATGGGTCCCATGCCCCAGCGTGTCCTACAAGCATCACAGGATTGGGTTCCTCATCTGGGTCAAAGCCGATCTGCAAGGCAGAGTCGCTGTCGTCAGCTTCACTTTCAATGACCTCATCGCCCTCCTTTTCCACCTGACATCGTCTTCGCCGTAGCCGATCCAAGACAAGTGGGCCGTATCCGATCGTCGCAGTCGGAAACCAGGTAAACTGGTGACGATCAACACATCGAATGAGCAACACAATCGGTTCAGGTGATCGGAATCCGGAACACGGTGATTCTTAAGTTGAATCAAGCTGACCTGCAAAACGCATGACACCCCGTGTCACTCAACGCTCTGAGTTCTTCCGTTCCAAACGCCGACCGCTTTGGGTCGACGGCGCGAAAGACCGTCCCGCCTGGTCAAAGGCCGCTTCGAGGTCTCCTGAATGAACGGCCGAATCCACGACGAATCGACCACCATTCCCAAGGAAGG